TTCTTCTAACTTAAGTGGCTCAAGGGTAACATCACTGACAGTTCCAAAGTAGATAATGTCTTCTTCCTCATAACTGATGAGAGTCCAATCAGAAGATGAAACACTGTTACTGGAATTTCCAGCCATTTTTCAGGTATCTGAAGGAGCAGAGCTACCTACGCCCAAATGCGTTAGCTGTCGCGGTGGCGGAGAGCACAGCCGTTCATTGCACCTTGACTCAGACTTTACTTACAGTTGTGGTGTTTAATAGAAACTTAGGTTGTGGAGTAGGGAAGACAAAGAATATCATACAATGCAATTTCAAGGTGAGTCCAGTAGTCACAAGCTAGATTAACAATGCACAAATTGTCAATTAGTGAAAGTCCAGGTTCAGTTCCGCAGCATAAATACATCTCTGGTTTCCTCTATCATCCAACAAACTTTATCTCAGGGAAAGTCAGCTTTCCCTTCAAACATCCAGCCAGTAAAACCTTTAACTGTGGCTCCATCTCCATTGTTCCTCTGGTTAAATCTTGCCACAGTTTCACCATATGCTCTTCACCCTCTCTCCACCATTGTTCTTCTCAGTGTGGAAAGCACTCTCTTCTATTCGTCCCACAGCTGTTTTTTATTTGCAAGGACCATATGGCTTCAGTGAAGATAACTGAAGACCATGCCCCCAAACTGAAGGTAATGCAATGGATAGAAAAGCCAATTTTCTTCCATTTTCTTTTTAAAAGCCAATTATTAAGGTTTCTGACACCACATATGTTAATAATGGGAGAAGACTCCAGCTGTGTTTGATCTCATTGTACTATTGATTTGGTTGGCTGTTGAGTTGGGAATGGTTTCTGGGGCCAGAAAGTATAATGTGGGACACTTTCTATCTTAGCCAGCCATCTTTTTTGAAGAGATGTTTTTTAAAATAAGCTAGACAAATGTTTGGAAGTTCAAGCTGAAGCTGAGGAAAATTAAACCGAATCCACAGGAGCCAAAATATGACTTTAATTTCATCCCACCTGAATTTCAGAATCATCTCAGGAACAGGTTTGAGGCCTTGAACACTAAAGAGCGAAGACCAGATGAGTTGTGGGAGGATGTTAA